GTGTTTTGCAATATAACCATGTGTTTTGCAAGATAACCATGTGTTTTGCAATATAACCATGTGTTTTGCAATATTATCGTGTGTGTTGATCAATATAATGTGCGATAAGTAACCACCGAGAAATAGGACTAAAAGGACCGAATGATGATCATTCGCAAATAAATATCTACTGTATTAACTATTTCTGAAAAGAGATCGTCATTTCATTGCAAGATAAATGGTTGTTTTTTAACGGGACATCAAAGAGCAATGACCGCAAAAATGCAGTTACTTTTTCAACAAAGCATCGATCAAGTTTTAAGATGTGATTTGAATCAATATGTATATGTTGCAAGTACATTAGTGACGTTTCACTTGTTTTCATTTATTAGCTGTCGACTGGTGTCTTCATCATTGCCGTAACGCAGTAGTAGTAAATAGAATAAAGAACGACAACTCATGTAATACTGGGTTGCATTCAAAATATTGCAGTAAATCTATAATAATGTTCTACTTTTACTTAGAATTCAAAATAATAGTTGCTCGTAGAATATGCAGTATTCTGAATAAAGTTTCTTCAAAATTATTTCACTCGCTCCTTTATTACGTTTAATAGAATCCTTATTACGAATTTCGTTTCACATTTGTGTCTCTCTTTCACACAAGCCATTTCGCGTATGCGTCTCTGTTCATAACACATAAACCATATTATCTATAACACGTGGACATTACGAATGTGTTTCTCTTAAAAACATGTTGCTGCAAACACCACTTATAACGATATGGAGACGATCGCCGAATTTATATCGTTATATCCGGATATCGTAATATCCGGGAGGCAATCAATTTGAAACCAATGCAACTGCATCGTTGTAAGCGGTATATCGTTATAAACGATATCCGTATAAGTGGAGTTTAATGTATTTCGCATACGTGTCTCTCTTATGCACACATATTACATTTTACGTATGTGTTTCTCCTATATTACATTTTAGTATGTGTCTCTCTTATAGCACATGGAATATTACATAGGTGTTTTTTTTAAACATATGGTATTTTATATATGTGTCTCTCAGCTGTGTACAACTGTATACTCGTTCAATAGAATTCAGTATTGAACTCAACAATGTGTAATAACGTCATAAATCACTGGTTGTATCCTAAAGACGCAAAGACGCGACACGATGGGTGGGATGAGTTTATTTTTCAGCAAAACCAGGCAGACAATAAGTGTAAAAACAGAAAACAATTTAAGAATATATTAAGTATCTATAATAATGTCATAAGCCACACAATTAGAAAGTACTTATCTACTAAAAGGAATAAAACCAAGACATTCTATTGTTATTCAGGATAACATATAAAAGGAAATTCACTGATTTCCGGGAGCTCCGAGCGTTTAAGCATATACCAACAAGCGAGTGCATACGACGCACGTGCGTACGAGTTTCAAAAATACTAGACAGGCATTTCCGTACAGGTACGGACATAAAAAAAAAGAGAGAGACGGGTTGCACAAAATGATGGGTGTCTGGGGAATCAATTATTCTTTGATGTCTGATATTATTTATATTGCATTTCATATAATTTGCAGTATATTAAATATAATATTCAAAAAAGAAAAAGAAAAAAAATCATTTACGTTAAACAGCAAAGGAAACGTAAATTTATTTGAAATGCATTGCGATTCCAAAGGTGAAGTAATAGTGGAAGGAACATCAGTGACTTTAAAGAAGATTTTCCTTTATGATAATGATCGATAAACGTTCGTATTAAATTAGCGACCTGAAAAACAAGGAGATATCAATTTCTTCACATTTTCATTAAATTCCCAAATGTTTCATATAAAAAAAGAGTTATTTTCAAATGAATTGACATTGGGATTTTTTTTCACCACCGAGGTGGCCCAGTATAAATCATCCTGTAAAAAATTAAGATCAAGACATTTTACTATCGGATTGATAAAATGACATTGATATATCAATATAATTATTCGACACACAATCCCTTCGTGAATTTATCAATGAAACTTTCGGCTCAACTAGACAACTAATATAAAAGAAAACTCTAAATATCAATTAAATTCTGCAATTTTACACGCTATATTTCTTACAAAAATGGCGCCACTAAGGAACAGTCAGTGTGGATCCGATTATATAATGATCTAGTTTGGTTATTTGATCAAGGTATCAAATAAATATAAGTTAAAGATCTAATATGATAACAGATAATGCATGTTATTGAATGATTTACGAAAAACAACCCAGGGTTTGCTCTGATATTACAAGTGTTTGTGTCACAAAACTTGTTTTAAAAGGTTAAATTAAACGTTTTTCTTATCTCACGTATGACCTTATTTGACTTTATTTTAAAACGAACACTCAAAAAGCACAATAAATCGATTGTACTTTTTATTACAACATTCTTGCTGTTTGAATGATAGTTTAAAACATATATTAGTGTAAATAAAAAAAGATTTACAATGTTTTAAAATATCTGTGCAGCTTTGCATATCCTCGGTGAATGTTATTCAACCTTGCGATTTACAGTTTTGTCAAAAATGTTTAACATATTTTGCAATATTGAACTCGATTTAGTACAGGTTAAAACTTGCGATTTAAACTTACAAACTCAAACTCAAGTGTTCGATCTTTAGTGAAAGCTGTAAGCAATATTAATGACATTATTCACTTTTATTTATTAAAGTTTAAATGCAATTAAAATGATTTATTTAACTCCTGTTTACGCCTTAAGAGAAGAGGATATATTTATATTTTTCGTGTTTATCGCAGAGAAAAGAGTTATTTAACATTGCACCAGTAAATACTAATATTTTGCAAAGTTACACTTTATATAAAACAGGCTAATGTATTAAGCTAGTAATAAATAGCAAATTTGTTTGTGGTATTCAACGAAACGTTACAATGCTTTTTGATCAAATATGCGTTTATTTTATAAATCTATTCAAGGTAAGCTTAAACAACAGCAATTTTACAACTTAAGAGAAACATATTTACTTTTTAATTCTTGATTTAGGCCATGGTAATGTTTGTATATGAGAGAAGAGGCCAATTATTTCATCTTGACGCAGAGCCCCGAAGTAAAAGAACTTATCCTTTAAATCATTATATATCACAAATGGACTGGTCTGTCTTTCAACGTGCACAAAACCATTTATCACTATTTAGGAAAACTTATGTACTGGCTGAGGACCAAGATCAGACTTCTCGGATGTGCCAGCTGATCTAGATCTGTACTGGTCGGATGTGTAGAATCTGTTGCCACTAGCAGGCTTATGGTTAAGCTAATTACTGTATTTCATTGTTAAGTTTTTCATTTTCTGTCTTAAGCTAATGTGATCAAATACACCTCTATCATTGCCATATCCGTTTAATCAATTAGGCACTTTAAAGTATATTCATTCAATCAAAATATAAACCCGGAGGTAAATCCAAATTAAATTAAGAAAATATTAGAATCGAACCTGAAGATATATAACACAATTACATCAGACTATGTTGTTTATGTCTTTAGCTGAAATTGATCTTTTACTCTTTTAATATATCCCCAAAATGATTTATGTGAAGTATTAACTTAGAAAAAAAAAGACAATTAAATTAATAAATAAATCCTAAAATAGATGAATTATTCTATAAAGTGCCGGTAGCTCTAGTGCTAGGGGTTCTTTATGAATTCCGTTTTTCTCTTCTTGATTAATACCAACAAAAACATGCAACATTCACCTTAACTTGATACAAACAGAAATAGACATTCATCTTAAGATATTTTACCATCCTAAATGTTTAGCAAAAAATAAAAATGTCAAACATATTATATCTATTTAAATGTCAAAGATGAGAGAAGAAGGAGAACGCCATCAAAAAACGCAATAATAAGGGCGTTAAATGAGAGCACGTCGACTTGGGTCTGAAAGGTCGTTGAGGTCAATTTAAATATAAATAGAAAAACATTTCTCTCTTAACAACAAATTAAGATTTTACTTTAGTTTAATAAAATATATATTTAAGTAGATGCCAACTAGTGCAAACAGGGAAATGAAGAGATATATGCACCATGGAGTTACTGCGTGCACGCACGCGCGTGAATTTATATACATGCATAAAATAGAAGGGTAGATGCATTGCATAAGCCTTTATTACGTTGCGAATGCTCTTTAGTTGTTGGGCATTGTATGTTATAAAACATGATAAAAAATGATAAAAATTCTTTTCATTGTTTTATAACAAAGAAAAGTGATTTTAATAAAATTATATTTTCTTCAAGTACTATACGCATGTTTTGTTTAATTCAAATGATGCGTTATACAGAATCAATATTCGTTTTTAAAAAATTATGTCCAAAAATAACTGCATTAAGATTTTGGACTACGACGACAACAACAAACAAATTACATCAGCATTTTCGTATTAAAATAATTTATAAACAGTCTAATCGCACATTTAACATTGTCAACACATTGCATTAAAAAAACTTTCATTTAAAGAGATGAATTGCTGCACTTTTTATTGCAATTTTGTGATTGATTGTATCATTCGTCAGAATTTGTCTTCTAGAAACAAATAACAACATCGCGTCGTAAAATTTTGAAATAAATCGGTGAATTATCACTTCATTCATTTGAATGGCATACTTTAAATTTAATACACTGTTACGCTATTACGCAATTAAGAAGTAGTTTTTATTTTTTTGAAAACCACAAGTATTTATATTAAGTCAGGATCGGCTTATGAATATAGAGAAGATTAGAGCACTTCTTTTAATGCCCGTAAAAACTTTTCGGTGAATGAAATATGATTTTAAGCGTCCCTAATATCTATACAGGAGACGAGTTGATAGACCTCCCATTCATACCGTATTTTAATTCATTTACAGCTACTTCGTGATGTTTAAAACTATCGGTTGAGTAGGCGGTGTCAAACTTGCAAAATTCGCGGTTTACGACAATTTGATTGGTCAAACTCGCTTTCGATGACAGGTAAATTGTTGAAAACGTTTTATATCTGTAAGTAAAACATAAAAACAAGTACACTTTGTATAAGGTCTTTAAACATGATGTAAACACTGCCGATGTGTGACAAAAGATACAGTTGTGAAGTGAATATAATTTAAAAGACGTTTACTTTAAAGATTTTCTTATTTTTCGTAATAAATTTTTGTGAAAATATTATCAATATACGACCTCGGTTAAAAGGCTGAAAATCACGGGGAATTTAGATAAGTAATAATGGAAGAAATGGAAGTTAATACTGCAAATTCTGCAGATAATTCACCAATGACATCTCCTCAAAGTGACGATTCTATCAGGAGTGAGGAGGACCTTGCTAAGTTAGATGGTGTTGATGTAGAAAAATTAAAATCAGAATATAACCCGGAATATAATTTAAGGAAGAAAACAATTGTAAATAGAATTAAAACGGAGAAAAAGAAGCAATTACCGAAGGTGCCGAAACCCAAGACATCACCTGCTCCTTTAAGTAAATATCGGCGAAGAGCTGCAAATGCGCGTGAACGAGGTCGAATGGAAGATATAAATGTTGCGTTTGAAACTCTTAAAGGTGTTCTGCCAAATATCGAGGAGGGACCTAATTTTAAAATGACGAAAATTACAACATTGAGATTAGCTATGAACTACATATCTGCACTCAGGGATATGCTTGGACAGAATGAAGATTCGAGTTCGATCTTAGCGTGATCTTAGTTCGGACCTGCAGTCGGACGGAGATTCAGCGGGTACATCAAGTGTTTCATCTGGCGAGGACGCATGTTTGAGTCCAGACTCTGTTGATGGAAATTTTTTGACAATGGATTTCCTGTCAGATGTGAAACTTGATGATTTTACGACAGTTGATACCGAAAACATTTTATTAGACTGTACATAATTCTGACAGGTGATTCACATATACATAGTTCTCAAATTGTGCGAATTAAACTTCTTTTTTTCAACAGAGGAATATCAGATATATTTCCGTTCAGGGTTGAATTTAAACGCTGTGCTAGAGCTGGAGTTGACATATAAGAGATTGAATTTAGGTTGAAACAGGGTGATTCTTGTTATTTTGTATGGTGAGAATTCGAAAAAAACCTATTGTTATGGTAAAGTAAAATCTATAGTGTTCGCTGCACAGTAAGTTATTGTTGTTTTTAGTAATAGTTACGCTGTGGACCGAGATGTGTTGATTGAATGAATTAATTGAAACGTTTAAAAATGCCTCGGGCAAAGCTTCAGCGGTTTTCTCAAATAAAAGACTGAAATAAAAATAACATTTACTATTGATTGTATATATGTGCCTGAGATAATTGAATTAGACCATCTTTTATGTAAAGACTTTGTGTGATAGAAAAGGGCAGCCTACTGACTGATTTAAAATAGAGCGTTTCAAGCTATTTAAATCGAAAGGAAGGACAAGTATATAAACTATCGTTTTTCTTTTCCTTTCGACAAGTGAATGGCCTGGTTGAATTCAATAGATGATTTAATACAAGTATTTAAGCGGATTTAAAAGATATCATTTTAAGTAGGGGATGGTATCATAGTACTGTTGAAATATATCTTATTTATTCTGAAATAAGCTGTCTCAGCAAGTAATGTATGTCATTCAAATACGGTGAGATTAAAATACATTTTCAATAAACTATAATTAGTTGGCTTTTACATTTCAGAAGAGTGGCAGGTTGTTTCGTTACGTTTACTGTAGTATATAGATAGTTGATGTGTAATTTTTAATAAATGATTTCAGTTTGAATATAGTAATTTGATATTCTGCTATGTATAATAAGTACGAAACTATGATGCAATAATTCTTTTCTTTAAATGAATCTTTAACTGAACAGACTTGGTTTAATTCATAAAGTAATTGTTGTTAATTCAACCGTGAACATATATATTTTGTTTCATCTTTATAGGCAGATTTGCATTGTATTTAACTTAGTTAATAAGCATTTTTTTATTACATGTGACTTTTTTCAATTTACTAATTAATAATGGAATACCATCTTGTTTCATGCATACTGTGACTAAAGTTGCTGGGCCGCAGCAAATATGTCATTAAAATTGTGTAGATAATAAGCTTGTATATGACAGAAATGATTGATGAGGGAATAATATTTTAGAAGAATAAAGATATAAAGAATAAAGATGAATCGATAAATTAATTTTTAAAAGCAAAGTTGCACTGAAAATAATCTTTACGAATGCTGTTAAAAAGTCATCGTATAAGAAAGGAAAGTGGTCGGCTATAATTCATAGCCAACAGAGCTTGTAAATTATATGTTAAAAAAAGAAAGATAATAAGTGAAAAAACAATATTTGGAGTATTCATTTTTTTTCTCTCTCTTTCACATAAGTTGTAAATCAATATTGCAGAAGTTGTAAAAAAAAAGTCACTGGGACACTTACCACTTGATTTTTTTGGACATATGGTTGAATTTGGGGAAAGTTAGTTAAAGAGCCACGTTTATGATGATGACTAGTGTGGTAACAAGTCTGGTAACTTAAAGGCGGCTACAGACCATTGATGCTTAAAGGGTTCACTAAACACAAAACACGTAATTAAAAAATACCAATTATTCTTTATCATCAGTAAAATTTGAAACTGAAAATACAACTAATTATTGTGGTGATGGTGTATTCAAAATGTACAATGTCGATGAGTAACATAGCTTTAAGGGGCTTTATTACTCTGAAACTTTATCTTTCGTTTTCCATCTGCAAATTAAAATTCTTTTCATAACACCTAAATGCTTTTGCAAATTACGATTTACCCCCATAGGCTTAAGTTATGAAAAACAGTGCTTGCGAGATACTTTTCGAAATCAGTCAAGCAAACTTTCTTCTTTTATCTGCCGCATATTTTATGTCCATCTCCTAATATTTAAAAAAAGAGCAATGATTGAGGGGTTGGAAAGTAAAATCTCAAATAAAAAAAATGGAAAAGCATATTAATAAACGGACAAGAAGAATGTTTTTGGTAATACACATTTTGTATGAAGTTATCTTATTCTTGAAAAAAATCACCAACAACAAAACAAATCTACATTATTCTTAGACTTTCTTTCAATACCGGTAAGTTTGGTAAATACCTATGTCGACATATTACTTCTTCAAGTGAAAGTCCATGTTACTTAGTATGCATTATACTTTAAAATACATCATGTTACTTTGTTTGAACCTCTGCCATTAATAAACGCTGTTAAATTTTACATTTTTCTAAACTGAGTGGTGTTTAGTTTAAAGGTGTTGCATAATTTCTATTTTTATTATTATTGATTTTTTTTGAAGATCATAAATAAACAACTCGGGTAGATCATACATTTACATTTAATCAATTGATTTGTCATGACCATGATCATGTTTTTATTTAATGTATGCTCAACAATTGGGTTTTGATGCCAGTAGACTCATTGTAAATATTCATTTCTTTTTCCACCAAATTATTACGTCATCATCACGTCACCATCACATCATCATAACGTAATCATTACACTTTTTGTCTCAAAGACTGTATATAGATATATTGATAATGTTTATGTACATATTCATAAGATTCAGCGCAAGGATCGAAGATTTTCCAAATTCAGACATTAATCGCAACATTTCAATATCACCTCTGTTTAAGAATATCATCAACTCATGAATATTCATGTTTAAGGGTATTGATTCATTTACATATCGTTTAACCTTAATTTGAATTGATTGGTTCATTTAAATCGATCATGAATAAAAAATAAAGGTACTATCGGAAATCTCTTTTTAACAGAACAGTACATACATACTGCACGTATATTGTTTTTATTTAGCATATAATTCAACCCAAAGTTGAATAAAACAGGTACATAAAAATTGGTGATCAATAGTTTGGTATTTTTTCATTCTTTGTGCTATTGAAATACATATATTTTTACGGAAGTATACATGTTAAATGGTATCTAAATTTTAATTTAGTATCTGATAATTTCATATATCGTATCTGTGTCATTGTGTTTAAATTCATATACAGATTTTGTTTACATTTTATTCATTTTTAATGATATTTTATGTTTTATGACATGTGAAAATAAAGTTGTTATGTTTCAAATGCAGATAAGCCTTGTGTTTTATTATCACACTTTGTTATTGTTGTGTATTCATTGCGTACATCATTTGAGCCGCGTCACGACAAAACCAACATAATGCGTTTGCGACCAGCATGGATCCAGACCAGCCTGCGCATCCGCGCAGTCTGATCAGGATACATGCTGTTCGCTTACCAACTCTATTACAAGTAGAGAAACTGATAGCGAACAGCATGGATCCTGATCAGATTGCGCGGACGCGCAGGCTGGCCTGGTTCCATGCTGGTCGCAAACGCACTATGTTGGTTTTGTCGTGACACGGCTCATTTATGGAGTAATGTTCAGGTGGGAGTAAACGAACAGTCATTAGCATGCACACCGGTTGTCACTGCGATATTAAGTCGTTTAAAAAAATCAAATCAAATGGACGTCAAAGGTTTCCGCCTCATTGTAACAAATGTGTACTTACTTGTCCTATGGTCCAAACTGACCACGTGTTTCTGCAGATACCAATTAACTAAGTCTGCACAGCTGGCAGTCCCCCGAATAGTCATTAATACTTTAAGTTATGATTAATAAGCAATTGCTTGACTCCCTTTTCCTTAATTTATAAAAAGTTACAGATAAATTGTATTTGTAATATTAGTCAAAATGTAAGCACCACCTTTCGAACAATTTACTTTCTGTTACCTACTATTTAGTTAATTTGCAACAAAATTATATACTTTAAAATGTCTTAATGAAATGAGATATTGCCATTTGATTGTAAACATATCGTGAATTTATTTACATCTGTAATACAATATTAAAATTACTATGTTTGAAAATAACCTTGCTATACTATATACCACCTATAATAATTTGAGCTAGCTTGGCTAGACACTAATAAGATCACTTACTTTCTATAATTCCCAATGGTATTGACTTTGCCAATTTCTTTAGATAAGGTCACATTTTATACACTGAAACGTTTAAATAGACCATTTACAGGATCGCAAATGACTGAAAAATACTAAGTCTTTATTAAGATTTTTTTACTATCGCATATTTGTATAGTGTACAAAAAAGGTACTTTTTTATAAAATCAGTGTACGTTATGATACTGAGTACCGGTGTTTTCAAAAACAAAACTGTTACTTAAACCTTACCACACTAAATATTTTAAATATGATCTGGTCAAGACCGTGCACCAATTTTGGGGAAAATTTTAACATGAGCCGCGTCACGACAAAACCAACATAATGGGTTTGCGACCGGCATGGATCCAGACCATCCTGCGCAGGCTGGTCTGGATCCTTGCTGGTCGCAAACCCATTATGTTGGTTTTGTTGTGACGCGGCTCATATTGATTGAAAAGCAAACAGTACATACCAGACGGGTGTGGTCATATGGGTTCTGCATGCTAAGACCTAAAGACTCCTAGTCAGTGTAATGCCATTTAACCATTTCAGTTAACATACCTGTAGTATCGAAGAAACACTTCTTCATATTTAAACAGATGGTTAATAAAATTCCTACGATTCAATTGTCTAGTTTCCATGGTAAAAGATAAACGAAAATTCGAGAATGATTTATTTAAGAGTAGTTAATGCATAGTAAAAAGAAGGACAGACTGTATCGAGGATCCAAATGAACAAGTTGTATTCAGTAGTGTATGTGAGATCCAAAATAACATACTACATTCACTAGTGTACTATTAGAGATCCAAATGGACAAGCTGAATTCTGGACGCATTTCAATCCTCCTTAACGTTTGGTCTATGTAAGATGGACCTATCTTGTGAGAATAGGTGCATATTCAGATGAACAACCTGTATTCAGTAGGACAAAAAGAATCCAAAATCCAGTAGCATTTAAGGAATCCAAATGAACAAATTGTGTTCAGTAGTATTTACGGAGTCCAATATCACTCGTGTATTAGGGATCCAAAATAACAAACTACATGTATAATGGCGTCATCAAGTCTAACTTTTATATCTTACTTTAATATTCAATCATACATCTAAATAGTTAACAGTGATATAGAGAAAAAATATGGCATCTACAAACCGTAACTGCTTTAATGAATTATGTTTTAAAAAATGTTCTACTTAAAATTTATTATGCGTAAAATGATATCATAACTATGGTAATTAAAGAACGACAAGATCATAACTAGGTGCAAAGAAAATTTGGAAGAGTTTATAATGTATTTTTTATAAAAGTTACTTTTCTCACTATCTTATTTGTTATTGTTAAACAAATGTACTTACATAAAAATTGTATAATCAACACAGACAGGTATAAAAATGATAGCATATTAATCTCATAAGTCAAATCTAAAACATGTAGTGGAACGATGTAAACATTAAAGTTGAATGTTTCGACATAATTCTGTTGTTTGTCGATGGCAACATGCGATCTCGTTTAAAGAAAGTCGAAAATAAAAATGAAATGCAAAAACTAAACGATTCTGATATAGGATATCCCTCGAAAACAATGAAAAGCAAATCCAAATAGTTAAAAACATCAGACTCCTCCGTTCATGAGAGGTAGTTGAGAGTGAAATATTGCTCACGACATCCCCCCTCCGCCTTAGCAACGGCTTAAACGGTTTTGTAACCCAGAAAGCTAAAAAGATTCAAATCAATGGTCCAGAGTGACCGGAAAAAACATGATTTTACTGAGACGTATAGGGGAGCAAATTTGTTAGTTTGGGGAACAGCATACATTCGTAAATGTAGCGATCGCTTGGGTTAAGAATAGAGGATAAAGTTTGTGGACCCCGAGAAACCAACCCCTATCAGCTGACGACCATGCTTCTTATATGAAACCAGCTATTATCATCAGTTCAAGAATTGGAGGACTTTTGAAAGGTTCAAATAAACTTTTCATCACAATGGAGCTTAAATGAATGTATTTAAACTTTTAAACTTAATAAGTATATTAGTTGTGTAAACATGCAACGTCTAGACCTCCCTCAAAGCTCATCCTGTATTTTATTGCCTCAGAAAATACTGTAATTACAACAATTTTAGTCTGTTAACAAACATGGTTCGTTTATTATACCTAATAATCGCTTAACATAAAGTTATGATACTGAAATACACATATTATATCAAATGTCACGTTAACCGCGGCGCTGGAATTTATTGCGTCTTAAATGGAAGGAGACACGGTGATGCTATTTCTGTAAAGATAATAAAGATTGCAAAAGGAATATAAGGTGACGTTTTGTAAGAAAACAACATGATGTTTATAAATGTTGATTCTTTCTTCTCTCTAAAATGTTTTATTTTTGTATTTGTTTTACGCATGAAGTCGTTTGGAACAGACATGTAAATGTTTTAGTTTTAAAGTAAACCTTCAGAAATATATTCAGGTCAACGTAAAAATAATCTCAAGGTTAAAGACACATAAATAGATATTGTTTTATTTAAGTTAATATTGAAGATATGACAATGAAGTTAAAGAAAACATGACACCTACTTCACATTATATAGACATTTGCTTTGTCTAAGTATTAAAGGGGCAGAAACGCCACATGGTTGTCTAATACGAGTCATACATGGTTCGAAAGCAATGATGTTATCAACTCTTATATTGCTGAAAGCGACTGCATCTAGCCATACGACCGGTGCAGATCAGGATCAAACTTGCTGTCTGATCATGGTCTGCACTGTTCGCTATTTAGTCAGTTTGTATTTTGAAATTTCCCATACATTGATAAATGGTTTAGTGCAGATTGATATATGAACACGTCAATTTAAGATATTTTAAATGTTGGTTAAGATTAAGGTAGACGAATGATTGCTGAAGAAACCATAAAGTAGTAAAGTATTGAATTTATAAAGAACAAGACTCTAATGAACAATTTCTGGATATTTTGGTAAGACCATCATCCCGGGGTTTGCCAGTGTGCCCTGACATGTTTGGTATTCTTCTAGGCTTCTTGCTGGTCCTCCTGTGTTTGGGGTATATGCTCGTTGAATGGGACCCTTCCTTGTTGATCCTTTTTTCATATTTTACACTTTTTACAATTATTTCAAGCTAGCATTCGTAAATAAGTATAATGAACAAATGGTTCATGATCATACGCGTGTGGTGCATGGTTTGGTTTTAACGAAATTACAAGATTACCTACAATGTCATTACAGAAATATCTGAATAGTAATAAAGTGTGCCCATCTCACTAGCAATTTCTTAAGAATGTGGTTAAATGGATAATGAATTGGAATATTATTGGGGGCAAAAAAAATTAACAAATTTTTTTTTTCGTGAAATATCTCTTCCTTTTAAGAAATACGAGCATTGTCACATTTTTTTGTAAAGTTAATCTTTAGAAATGTCTATTTTACAGTAGAACGTAATCGGAGACATTATGTTTTCATTTTTGAAGGTTTCAAAACAAAATATCATTTTTCATAAACAAATTTTAGAGGACAAACGAAATAAAATTGCGTACAGTATTCCGTTTTGCACTTTCTATATTGCAGCAAGAGGAAAAGTAAGTCAATACTTTTCCTTGAAGACTAAAATACATATGCTTGTAAAAATTGTCCGCTACAATTCAAGCAGACGTTTATTAGTCTTCATGGATTGGTAAATCTATCACTTTTTCATGTGATTCTTATAAAAAAAAGCTCTATATTAATTACATCAAA